TCCAATGCCTCTACTTGGAGACCTGACCCACAATCTAGGCATGTGCCCTGACTGGGAATTAAACCAACAACCTTTTAGTTCTTAGGCCCGTGTTCAACCCACTGAGTGAGACACACTAGCCAGGGCCGGGGCAGCAATCCTATTTTCAAGCATATTTCATTTAAGCAATAATGCTGTTCAAACCAAAAAGTGAAAATGAATTGTTCTCACCCCATCATGGGGAAAAAAAAGTCTTCAAATTCTTGTGTTAATGAATTTGTGAGAAAGCAGAAATTTTCAGACATCATTGATCTGGGAGAGGAACTTGCAGTAATGTTAAGCTGTGCACATCCTGGGCCAACAAAGATGCATCCAAGTGTGTTCATTTGATGATGAAAATGGCTAACATTTATTTCATTTTCATGTTGTAGTAGGCACTATACCAAGTGCCTTCATCATTGAACTACTGTACCATAATAGTAGGTACTATTATTTCCCCTCAATTTACAAATAAGGAAATTAGGCACAGAAAGGTCAGGTAACTTGCCATAAGGTCACACAGCTAGTAAGTGGCAGAGCCACAATCCACATCCTGCTTCTACCTCATTGTACCTGCCTCCCAAGTGCCAGGAAACATGGAGACATGAGTGTGTTGTTCACTACAGCATTGTCTATATTTACAAAACATTGTCAGGAAGCTCATCAGCCTAATGGTGACACAACGGAGCATGAGGAAATATAGATCTGGAAGTGCTCACCCAAAGAGATCTCAAAAATAAGCGTTGGGACAAAGCAAGTAAAATCAAAGAAAACACAACTATATATTCATGGTATATTATTGGCATAGGTGGTGAAACTATAAAAGGATACATGGGAAAGATACCCCCCAAATTTATGATGGGATAAGGGAAACAAAGACAGGGACTTTTATCTATGATCTATTAAAAACTCTCCTTGTCCCCTACCCAGATCTTGATAAAAAATAAACCCTAACCCAGAAAATCATTTTATGACCGATTCACACATGCATTACTTAAACCTGAGAACTATTATTGTCACAGCAACATAAAAACCTTTTACTCAGTCAGGGACATCTCTCCAAAGCTCCCTTCTATGGTATAAATAACTTTAAAAGATTCATTGGTTCTGCTTCCAGCAACAGCACATCTCTTTGCTTCACCTGTAGGCCTCAGAGGCTGGAAGGAGAGTGAGTTCTGCCTTTTACTTAGTAATTGATTGTTTTAAGATGGTGTTTGTCTTAAGAGCAACAGCTCCAAACAACTGAAGTATTTATTTAAAAAATAAAATGTCCAACTATTTCCCTGTTTCACTTTGTATATGGGGGTGGGATGGGGAGTGGAGTTGGAGGGTAGGGTAGGTTACAATCAAATGTTTAATTGCTCAGGTGGAAAAATGCAGTGATTAAAACAAATTACCCCTCTCCAACTCCTTTGAAAGCTGGTAGGCAAATTGGTTACCTAGAAACACATTGATTTATGACTAAACCCTTTTCCTGTATTTACCACAATCAACAAATATGAAACCATAGCTCATATGTTCATGTTTTCCTAGAACTATAATGGGTTTATATAGAGAAGTTAATGTTCTCAGATTAGTAGGTGCTAATGGTCTGAGGCAAACAAGAGGCCAGGTCTGAGGGGAAATTTTTTTAAAATTTTTATTTCTTTTTAGGGAGAGAAAAGGAGGGAGAAAGAGGAGAGAAACATCTATCGGTTGCTTCTTATACATGTCCTGACCAGGGACGGAACCTGCAACCCAGGCATCTACCCTGACTGGAAATGAAACCGGTGACCTTTTGCTTTTCTGGATGATGCCCAACCAATTGAGCCACACAGGTCAGGGTGGAAAATTTTTCTTATTGAAAAACTGACTTTCAGTGCCAGCACAGAGTTTTGTCAGCTGCATTAAATGCATTAATGTGTAGAATTGCAGAAAGGAATGCAGTCAGTTTTGAATCTAGTAAATTGTCTCAAAGCATGACTATAAGGCTCTATTTTGGACTTCTGTGAAGGAGCCCCACAGAAAAGCAATTCATACTTCCTTTTAAAGATGTTTTAACTACCTCAATTGGAGAATCTCTCCTTATCACAAATCCTGTTCCTTTTTACAATTTCTTAGGGTAACACGTAGTGTCCAAAAATTAGTAACATGTATGTTAATTCTTAAAAAATTATGACTCTTTTAGAAATTCAGATTTGGCCTTCTCCTCTTATGCCTTAGTAAAAAGAACTTTTTAAAAAGCGATTATTTCCTTCTCAGGTGATTGAGATTTCATTAATCAGCAAGATCTGAAGATTATCAAAATTGTAATTAGAAATTGGGGTGCTCTTGTGTGGTTCGGGAAAACATATCCAGGGAGTACGGAAAATCCCTACCAGCTTCACTCTTCTACCAACCACATTGTCTTGGTCAGACTCTAATGGTCTTCATAGAACTCTTCACACCACAATTAGCTTGGGAGACTCTTGGTTTGAAGTGACAGGTCCAAGGTACATTTATGTTAACTGTATTAAAATGAGTCTTGTTGGGTCTGGTCTCCTAAATTCTAGGATAAGGCTTATTAGAGCAGTGTGGAAAAATCTGGTGGTACAATTCTAATTTTCTCACTTGATTTCTGACTTTGGAAATTACAGGTTACAGAAATATATGCTACTTTAAAAAATGCAGATATGTAGAGATGATAAAAGGTAACTCATAAGCCTCCTCTCTCTGGCCTGAAACTTATGTTCCTTGCCAGGAGACCCTGATTCAGGACATCTGCCTGCATTCATTTACCCAAAACACATACTAAAGCTACTGAGCCAGTGGCATAATTCCGAATTTAAAAACAAAGTCTAAATAATTTCCAGGTTTATGAAATTAATCTATAAACACAGAAATAAAAACAAAACAAAACCAAAAACCTAATTACTTTACTCACATCTTATATATTTTTAATTTTTTTACTTTTTAAAAATATATTTTATTGATTATGCCATTACAGTTGTCCTATTCCGCCCCTTCATTCCCCTCCACCCTGGACACCCCTCCCCCACCATCCTCCCCTTTTATGTCCATGTGTCACAAGTTCTTTAGATTCTATATTTCCCATACTATTCTTGTTCTGCTTCGTCTATTTTCTACCTACCGTCTATGCTTATTCTCTGTACCTTCTCCTCCCTTCTTCTCCTCCCACTCCCCTGTTGCTAACCCTCCATGAGATCTTCATTTCTATGGTTCACTCCTGATCTAGCTGTCCTCTTAGTTTGCTTTTGTTTTAGGTGTGGTTGTTAATAACTGTGAGTTTGCTGTCCTTTCACTGTTCCTATTTTTAATCTTCTTTTTCTTAGGTAAGTCCCTTTAACATTTCATATAATAAGGGCTTGATGATGATGAACTCCTTGAACTTGACCTTATCTGAAAAGCACTTTATCTACCCTTCCATTCTAAATGAAAGCTTTGCTGTATAAAGCAATCTTGGATATAGGTCTTTGGATTTCCTGACTTGGAATACTTCTATACAGCCCCTTCTTGCCTGTAAAATCTCTTTTGAGAAATCAACTGACAGTCTGATGGGAACTCCTTTGTAGGTGACTGTCCCCTTATCTCTTGCTGCTTCTAGGATTTTCTCCTTCATTTTAATCTTGGCTAATGTAATTATGATGTGCCTTGGTGTATTCCTTCTTGGGTCCAACTTCTTTGGGACTCTCTGAGCTTCCTGGATTTCCTGGAATTCTACTTCCTTTGCCAGATTGGGGAAGTTCTTTATTATTTGTTCAAATAATTTTTCCACTTGCTCTTCCTCTTCCCCTTCTGGTACCCCTATAATTCGGATGTTGGGATGTTTAAAGATGTCCTGGAGGTTCCTAAGCCTCTCCTCATTTTTAAAAATTGTTTCTTCATTTTCTGTTTGTTTTTTTCTTCCTTCTGGTTCACTCCCTTGATTTGAGTCCCAGTTTCCTTTCCATTATTGATTTCCTGTCCATTTCCCTTCATTTCATGTAGGTTAGCCTTTGTTCCTCTAATTTGTGACTAAAATCAACCTGTTCTGTGAGCATCCTGATCCCCATTGTTTTGAACTGTGCATCTGATAGGCTGGCTATCTCTTGGTCACTTAGAATTATTGGCTCTGGGGCTTTGAGCTGTTCTTGAGCCATCAAGTTTTGGTCTGTTCGCACCTGTTACATATGAGGGACAGAGCCTTAGGTGTTCACTAGGGTGGGGCGACCCAGTCACTGGGTTGTGATGCTGTATGTGGAGTCAGGGTCAGACAGGGGCAATGGCGTTTGTTCCTCTCTCTCTTGGATTTCAGTCCCCTCTGCTGTTTCCTGCAAGCAAACCTGGCCCCCCTGGTGCTGGCTTCCTGGTGCGTGGGCCTGTGCGTCTCCAACGAACTCTCTGTGAGCCTGGGAGCCTCACCCGGCACCTCAGCCCCGAAAGTCTTTCCAATTGGTGCTTTCAGGCTCTAATTCCCATCACTGGAGCTGTGTCTCACTGCTCGCTTCTTTGCTTGGTTTATCTGCACGTGAATGTGTGACCCCGGTCAGCCTTCTTCCTTGCACATTCACTGGATCCACCCATTGCCACCTCACACCTGGGATCTGCCAACCACTGCCTGTGCTCCTGGGTCAGTCCAGCCAATCTTTCCTGCCTGACCCCTCTCTGCCAGCCACTGGCTCCACCCCTCTTACCGGTCTGGCTGAATTGTTCATTGTTGTTGGACTTCTGTACAGTTCAATTTTCTGTGTTTTAGTTGCATTTTAGTTACTAAAACTTTGTCTTTAAATTTGGTTGTGTGAGGAGGCACAATGTTTCTACCTATGCCTCCATCTTGGCCAGAAGTCCCACATCTTATATTTTATTTCTTATAATTCATGGCTAATGAAAAAACTAAGCAACTGTATATAACACTGTATGATTTTAAGACAGCAACTTTAACTTAAATGTTAATCCATCTCACAAAATAGGGACCCTTCCCCCGGGTTATATAGTTGGGGTTTATTTAAGTTTCCCAAACCCAGTGACAACTAATAATTTTTATTACTTATCGAACACATAAAAATAGATTGCATTATTGATCCCCACAGCTGAAAAATTACACACATGATACATTTTCTCTATGGATAAGATTCATCCACTCAAACCAGAATATAACTATTAAAATTCCTACAATTACTTCAGGGATTATTTGGTGGTATGCCAATGATATAGTGAATGTGCTCCATCTTTCAGGACAGTGATATTTATTCGAGGCTAAGGAATCCCATATTTATTTTTCACAAATGTTAAATGGAAATTTTTTTCCCTAAAGAAATATATAGAGAACCTCAATATATAAAACAAGTTCTAGGAGACTGTGCTGGCAGTAGTAGCTGGCTGATGCTAGTTCTCCCTCCACACACGCCCTTGGGCTGCATGGCCCCTTCCCTCCTGGTGTACCCTGAGGAAATGGTTGGCACACTAAGCCTTACTGCCCCCCAATTTCAGTTCAAAGACTGGGAATCCTGCCCAGGACACAGCGAAGTCCACAGGGATCCATGAGCCATCAACACTGTGTAATTTTGCTAGCCCTTTTTAAAAGTAAATCATAGTCAGAGGTAGAAAGCTGGTCTTTTATGTGCTAAAGTCCAGTTCTTTATATCTAAACTTTCCTGGCTTCTCAGTGTTTTTGGTTGCCAGTAAATGTCAACAAATTATTATTTCTGCTTGTATTAATTCAGCTCTCGGATCCTCCATTTTAGGTCACAGTAAACAGCAATGTATTTTCCCAAAGTATGAGAAAGTGCTGCATGTCCCCAAACAGCATCCTGCCCCTAGTCTGGTTTCTGAATATTCTGGTTCTTTTCCTTCTTTGTATATTCTTCTAGTCGAAGAAGCCACTTCGTCCAGTACTGGGAACACAGCTCAGTGTCCATGAAATGTGGGTGGGCAGGGGATCCATCTTTGTAGGCCACCACAATTAAACCACACTGAACCTAGACAGAAACACAGTAAGACCAGAGTTCAGGTTAATCTCCTTCTTACTCCAGGGAAAACAAAACAATCTACAGCACAGGCACAAACACAAGGCCTGTGGGCTGAATCCCACCCTCCACCTTATTTTATCTGGCCCGGTACCTTGTTTCTACCTGGTGGCAACGCCAAGCTCTTGCTTCACTTTTAAGGAGTAGTTACATTTATACAGTCCCAAATTGCTTTTGGCCCTTTGAAGGCAACCATGAGGCTGATGTGGCCTCTGGTGAAATTGAGTTTGACACCACTGATCTACAGTAATATCTCCTAACTCAGTTTCTAAGATGGTACATGAAAGACTGCACCAGGATACATAAGAACACAAAGATGATGACAGATAAGACACTGAAGAAAGGGCTGTCATCGTTAAAGAACTATTAACAATGACAAAACACTCCCCAAAAGACAGGGGAGTGGGGAAAACGCTTTTTAAAGTAGTAGATAGGAACTTCCAGTTAAGATGGAAATGTGAGTACACATGGCTCACCTCCCTGTACACCCACATCAAAAATACAACTAAACTATAGAACTACTATCACTCAGAACCATTGGAAATCATGTTGAATGAAAGTCTGACAACTATGGAATTAAAGAAACCACATCCATCCAGACTGGTAGGAGGAGTAGAGACATAGAATAGGCTGGTCCCACATCCAAGTGTGGTGCATAAAAATTCGGAAGGGATATCTTGGGAGTGAAGAGTCCCAGCCTCACACCAGGAGCCAAAGCCAAGGGTTCCAATGGAAGGAAGATATGTCCCTGTAACTCCTGGCTGCAAAAACTCTCAGGGCTTGAGTCAGTGGATGAAACTGATGAAGTCCCAGGCAGTTCCTCTTAAAGAACCTACACAAAGACTTACTCAAACTCACTCCTTCTGTGCTCCAGCACCAGGGTAATCTTGAAAGGCATCAGTAGCATACAGGGAGGAAGTGACATGTCTGACATCAAGGTGAGAGCTGGGGACCAGCTTTCTCCCAGACAGAAAGGTAGGCAGAGGCCACTGTACCTCTTCTCCCCCAATAGTGCCACAGAACCAGCAGGCAGGTACCATTTATCTAAGACTCCAACAACCTGGCTAATACTGTTTGTCCCACCCTAGAGATCCCCAGGCTTCACCTGGCAACTTACCGACCCACCCACGCTATAACAATGGCTTTTCCATATGAATGGCTGGTCTTGGCTCCTGCTTCACAACTTCCTAAACCCTATCAAACAAAGCAAGAGCTGGCCAGAGTGAACCCCCAGCCCTGGGTTCACAGCTTGGGTTGGTTGGTAACATGCTAACATGCACTAGCAGCAGCCAGCCTAGGTTCACAGCTTGGCTCCACCTAGGAACCCCCAAGCCCAGCAGTAGCAGCCATGTGCAGATTGCTTTATAGCTCATGCAGCGTGGCTCCCAGCAAAACATAGGTGGGGACTGACCTTGGGCGTACCCACTGGCAAACCCCAGAGCCTGAACACCCAATGGACAGCTACAGACCACCATGGTGCTGTCCCAGCCCAGCTGATCCTCCATGGAGGGCAGAAATTGTGGTCAGTGGTCACAGGCAGTCCTTGCAGTTGACTGGCCTGGGTAAATCCATCCTGTTGACCTGCCAACAGCAATCAAGGTTCAACTACAAGAGGAGGGTGTACGCAACCCACACAAAGGGCTCACCTTGAATGCCCAGCTTGGATGACAGGAGAGGATGTGCCACTGAACTCCACAGGACACCTACTACATTAGGCCACACTACCAAAACATGGAGTCAAAGCAGTTCTACCTAATCTATAGGAACAAACACAGAGAGGCTGATAAAATGAGGAGACAAAGAAACATGGCCCAAATGAAAGTATAGAACAAAACTCTAGAAAATGAAACAAACAAAATGTAGATAAGCAAGCTATCAGATGCAGAGTTCAAAAAACTGATTATAAGGATGTTCAGGGAATGTAGTGATGACTTCTAAAGTGTAAAAAAGACCCAGTCAGAAAGATACACTAATTGAAACAAAGGAAAATGTACATGGAAACAGTGGAATGGAAGAAACTGAGAATAAAATCAATGATTTGGAGCATAAGGAAGCAAAACAACCAACCAGAACAAGAAAAAAGGATCCCCAAAATGAGGAGAGTATAAGCAGCCTGTGGAACAACTTCAAGCATTCCCACATTCACATCACTGGGGTGCCAGAGGAAAAGAGAAAGAAGAAGAAATTGGACATGCATTTAAAAAATAATAAAAGAGAAAAGAAAATTCCCCTAATTTGGTGAAGGAAATAGACATGCAAGTCTAGGAAGCACAGAGAGTCCCAAACAAGACTGATGCAAAGAGACCCGCTCCAAGACACATCATAATTAAAATGCCATTATTATGGCATAATTAAAATGCAAAGATAAAAGATAAAGAAAGAATGTTAAAAGTAGCAAGAGAAAAGCAGTTAGTTACCAACAGGGGACTTCCCATTAAACTGTTAGCTGACTTCTCAAAAGAAACTTTGCAGGCTAGGGGTGGAAAAAAATATTCAAAATCATGGAAAGCAGGGACCTACAGCCAAGATTGCTCTACCCAGCAAAGGTATAATTTAGAATCAAAGGGCAGATAAAGAGCTTCCTAGACAAGAAAGAAACTAAAGGAGTTAATCATCACCAAACCAGTATTACATGAAATGTTTAAGGGGACTTATTTGAAGAAAAAGAAGATACAAACTATGAACAACAAAATGGCAATGAATACATATCTATCGACAATTGAATTTATAAGACAAACTAAGCAAACTAGAAGAACAGAATCATGGATAAGGTGTTTTGATAGTTGTCAGATGGGAATGGGGTGTGGGGGAATAGGTAAAGAGGTGAGGTGATTGAGAAGTATAAATAGGTAGTTACAGAATAGCCATGGGGATATAAAATACAGTATAGGAAATGGAGTAGGCAAAGAACTTACATGCATAACCCATGGACGTGAACAGTGATGTGGGGACTGCCTGAGGGAGTGGAGGGTGCTGGATGGAAGGGGCAAAAGAGGAAAACGCAGGACAACTATAATAGCATAATAAATAAAACATTTTTAAAAAGTGATAGCAAGGAACAGAGTAAGTAGTGGGATACAAATAGAATAAGGACCACAAGGAGTTAAGTAGCTATAAACAGGTGTCAGGCAAAGCTTTAAGGAGAACCTCAGTGTTCTTACCTGAAAGCTATAGTTGGCATCATGGTTTATGGCACCTACATATGCCACAAGCTGCAGCGGGTTGTCAAATGTATTTCGGATAAAAGGTTTTGGTTTCTCCGATGTCTTCCAATCAATCACACACAGCTTGCCTCTAAAGAGAAACCAAAGGGAAGTCTTTGTAGGTAATAGTTCAAACTAAAAAATTAGGTCAACCTTCTTACACAGTTTACTACTTGTTACCAGTGACTGTTGCTTCTATTCTACACTTGCCAAAAAGGCAGATCCTCTGAGCTTTACCTCTTAGAAATAGAAAGGTTTGATGTTCTCTTTCCTTTGAGTCCTTTATTCAGTTAGTATATGAGCCTGTCAGGGTTTTGATGCACGTTTCCTAAATTGCTCCAATGAGACCTACAGGTACAGGCCCATGTGGGAGTGCTGGGAAACAATTTGTCCACAGTTTATACACTCTATTGAAATTCAAGTTTACATACTCTATTGAAATCCCTTGGAACCTCCAAGGCCTTCTTTCCTTTAACACAGGGGAATTGAAACTGCACCTATTATTATTTCGGTTGATTCTGCCTCAAATGCTTATCAGAATAAACCACAACAGAGCAGTAGCAACGTCCTCATTGTAAAAGACTAAACATAATGGTCCCTCAGAAATTCTACTGCTCATAAACCAAGTCTGGTGTTCAAATCCATCAACGCTTTCTTCTTCTTCTTTCTTTTTCCTTCTTTCTTCTTCTTCCATCTTCTTCTTCCACTCCCTCCCTGCTCCTCTTTCTTCCCCTCCTCCTCCTCCTTCAAGTCAAACAACTACTGTATTCCTCCCCAACCCCCGTATTCTGGTGGGATTTCATACTTGCCACCTGCAGTTAAAAGCTTCATAGGGTGGGTGAGTAAAATGATAACTGGCAACTCCCAAAGGGCTCTATCTGTTCAACCTGTCTTTCATGACTTCAATTTCAAAATCAGCACTTTAGAGGGAGATTTTATACAAAATGTGTATGTTACCTACCTGTTACCATAGCTCTAGAGTTACAACTTATACAAGGTACTTATAAAACCAGTCTAGAGTAGCACTGTCTAAAATAACAAAATGTGAGCTATATGTTACTCTAAATTTTGTAGCCATGTCAAAAAAAGACAAAGATAGGTGAAATGCCCATATTTTTTTACTCCAACATATTAACAAACATCATTTCAACATAATATAAAAAGTTATTGTATTCCCAACTTCTGGCCAAGACGGAGGCATAGGTGGAAACACTGTACCTCCTCGCACAACCAAAATTAAGGACAACAAAGATTTAGAAACAAAAACACAACCAGAACAGACAGAAAACTGAACTGTATGGAAGTCTGACAACGATTTAACCAGTCCAGTAAGAAGGGCAGAGTTGGTGGCTGGTGCAGAGGGATTGCGGCAGGAAAAGGCAGTGGCAGCCAGATGGCGGGAGTGCAGGCAGTGCGAGGCTGACTGAGGTTACACATTCGTGTGCAGATAAACTAGGCAAAAATGGGCAGCAAGACAGATCGTGCAACCCAGGGCTCCAGTGACAGGAAAATAAAGCGTAAAAGCACCGTCTGAAAAGGTGCTGGGTTGTGGGAAGTTGCAGAGGGGATTGAAATTGGAGAGAGAGCAGAAAGAAAGGGGCATGCTAGAGGAAATCACATATTAGTGTTTCTCTGCCTTTCTCCCTTCCCTTCTGTCTAAAAATAAATAATTAAAATATTTTTAAAAAGCTTATCATGATTGGTGAATTTTTGTATAGCCATTTTAACATTGAAGATGAAAGAAAATAAGCAAACATTTTTGCCGTATCATGCTTTATTTCAAGGAAGGTAAAAATGCAACTGAAATGCAAAAAATGATGTGTGCAGTGTATGGAGAAGGTGCTGTGACTGATGGAATGTGTCAAAAGCAGTTTGCAAAGCTTTGTGTTGGAGATTTCTCACTAGACAATGCTCCACAGTCAGGAAGACCAGTTGAAGTTGATAGTGATTAAATCAAAACATTGAGAACAATCAACATTAACCCATGGGAGAGAGATGACATATTCAAAATATCCAAATCAATAAAATTATTAGTAAAAATTAAAAAATGTCTTTTACCTGCCTTTTGACCCAGCAATTCCACTGGTAGGATTATATCCTAAGAATCCTAAAACATCAATATCAAAGAACCTATGCACCACAATGTTCATAGCAGCACAATTTACAATAGCCAAGAGTTGGAAGCAACCTAGGTGCCCACCAGTAAATGAATGGATCCAAAAATTGTGGTACATATACACAATGGAATTCTATGCTGCAGAGAGAAAGAAGGAGCTACTACCTTTTGCAACAACATGGATGGAACTGGAAAGCATTATGCTGAGTGAAATAGGCCAGGTGCTAAAAGACAAATACCATATGATCTCACCTTTAACAGGAAGCTAAACAACAAAACAAACAAGCAAGCAGAAAAAAAACAAAGACACTGAAATAGAGAACAAGGGGACAGTGACCAGAGGGGAGAAGGAAGGGACGTTAAGGGGAAAAATGGGGAGGGATCTGGAGGAACAAATAGGAAGGACACAGGGATGAGAACTAAGGGGGGTGGAAATGGGAGGGAGGTGGGGAGCACAGGGTGGGGGGCCGGCTGGGATGGGAAAAATAGACAAAAAACTGTACTTGAAAAATAACTAAATAAAATTAATTTTAAAAAAAAGTACTAAAAGTAAACATGTTACTCTTCATCTAAGAATGAAGAATTATGTATTATATACAATCTATACATAATAATAGTATTGTGTGTATATGATTATGTATTTGTATATATGCACATAGGTAAAGTTTTCTAAAAAAGAAACAGGAAGCATAATTGGTAACCAAAGAATGGTTACTTATGGGATTGATAGAAAATAATAAATATACAAGTATGAGAATGATGTGGAAATGATAAGGAAGTAAGTCCTTCCTGATAATAACCTTTTGCATGGTTTTGATTTTTAGAAAGTTGTCAATGTTTAACATACAAATTAAACAAATAATAAATGGAGGCAAGAAAAAAAAAAGTCTTTTATTTTACAAAAAACAAAACAAAAACCCATACAAACTTTTAAAAATAATATGGTACTGGCCTAAGGATAGACATACAGACAAACAGAATAGAGAACCCCAAAATAAACCCTCAACTATATGGTCATGTGATTTTTGAAAAGGGTGCCAAATCCATTCAACGACAGTCTTTTCAACAAATGGTGTTGGGAAAACTGGATATTTACATGCAAAGAATGACGTTGACCTCCTACCTAACATCATAAGCAGAAATGAACTTAAAATGGTTCCATAACCTAAATATAAGACTTAAACCATAGGACCAAGGTTTAATGACATTGGATTTGGCAATGATTTATTAGATAAGACACCAAAGGCACAGGCAACAAAAGAATAGACACATTGGATTACAGAAAAATTTAAAACATCTGTGTATCAATCCACAGAATGGGAGAAGATAATTCAAATCATATTCTGATAAAGATTAATATCCAAAATACATAGAGAACTCCTAAACCTCAACAACAAAAAATACCAATGAAGTTTAAAAATAGGCAAATAACTCAAACGGACATTTCTCTAAAGAAACAAATGGCCAATCAGCATATAGAATGATGCCCAACATCACTAATCTTTAGGGAAATGCAAATCAAATCACAGTAAGATACCACCTCACACTCATTAGGCTAGCCAGTATCAAAAAATCAGAAATAACAAATGTCAGAGACAATGTGGAAAAATGGGAACTTCTGTGCACTGTTGGGACTATAATATGGCATAACCCCTATAGGACACAGTATGGTGGTTTCCCAAAAAATTAAATAGAATTACTGTATGATACAGCAATTCCACTTTGGGCATAGCTCCAAAAAAATTAAAACCACAGTCCTTTTTTAAAAAAGATTTTACTTATTTATTTTTAGAGAGCAGAAAGGAGGGAGAAAGAGAGGTAGAGAAACATCAATGTATGGCCCCCACCAGGGACCCAGACCACAACCCAGGCATGTATCCTGATTGGGAATCGAACCAGCAACACTTTGGTTCACAGACCAGCACTCAATCCACTGAGCCATACCTGCCAGGGCTAAAAGCATAGTCTTGAAGAGATATTTGTGCACCCATGTTCATAAAAGCATTATTTACAATATCCAAAACCTGAAAGCAAACCAACTGTTCAATGACAGATGAATAGATAACTAAAATGTTGTATATTAACCAGCCTGAAAAAGAAATTTTGATATGCTACAACACAGATGAACCTTGAGGACATTATGCTGAATGAAATAAGCCAGTGAGAAAAAGAAAATTACTATGTTATTCCACATATATGACAGAAAGTAGAATGGTGGTTGATAGTGGCAGGAAGTAGGGAGGAATGGGGAGGCTACTATTTAATGGGCATAGAATTTCAGTTTTAACAGATGAGAGTGTACTACTGGAGATATATGGTGGTGATGATTGCACACCATAAATGTACTTAATACCAGTGACCTATACACTTAAAAATAAGTGGTAAACTTTATGTGTGTTTTACCACATTTCTTCTAAAGAAAGGGGGAGGAGGAGGGAGAGAGGGAGAGATAACGGAAGAAAGAGGAAGGGGGGCAGAGGAAGGGAATGGGCGGGGTGGGGGAGACAGCGAGAGAGTGAGAGAGCGAGAGCGAGAGATTGTTTACTTTCTTATATGCACCCTGAATGGGAATCAAATTAGCAACCTGGGTACCTGCCCTGACCAGGAATGGAACCCGCAACCTTTCAGTCTATAGGACAACCCTCCAACCAACTGAGCCACACCAGCCAGAGCAAAAAGACATAAAAAGAGGAGGGGAGGGACCTTTTTTTTTTTAATTCTTCAATTACAGGTGATAAACCTTAGTTTAGAAAATGTTCAACATTCGGACTTCTGGCCAAGATGGAGGCATCGGTGGAAACACTGTACCTCTTCCCACAAGCAAATTTAAGGACAACAAAGATTTAGAAACAAAAACACAACCAAACAAACAGAAAACTGAACTGTACCAAAGTCTGACAACAATGAACCATTCATCCAGACCAGTAAGAGGGGTGGAGTTGGGGGCCGGCAGAGAGGGGTTGCAGCAGAAAAAGAGAGGGGTTGCAGCAGAAAAAAGCGATGGCTGCTGGACCGTCCCAGGTGCGCAGGCAGCGGCTGGCAGATCCCAGGTGTGAGGTGGCAATGGGGAGACCCAGTGAGGGAGCAAGGTGGCTGGCTGACTGTGGTCACACAATCACACGCAGATCAACCAGGTAGAAAAATGGTCAGGGAGACAGACCACACAACCCAGGGCCCCAGCGATGGGAATTAAAGCCTAAAAGCACCAATCAGAAAAACTTTCGGGGGTTGAGGAGCCAGGAGAGGCTCTCAGCCTCACAGGAGAGTTTGTTGGAGAGACTCACAGGGTCCTAAAACTTAGGCAAGTCCACCCACCCGGGAACCAACACCAGAAGGGCCCAATTTGCTTGTGGGAAGCGGCAGAGGGGACTGAAATCTGAGAGAGAGCAGAACAAATGCCACTGTTCCCTCTGACCTTGCCCCCACATACAGTGTCACAGCCCAGCTACTGGGTTGTCCCGCCCTGGTGAACACCCAAGGCTCCGCCCCTCCTACATAACAGGCGCAAACAGAACAAAACTTTATGGCTCAAAGAGAACAGCTCCAAGGCCTCAGAGACAATACTTCTAAGTGACCAAGAGATAGCCAACCTATCAGATGCACAGTTCAAAACAGTGGTGATCAGGATGCTCACAGAACTGGTTGATTTTGGTTGCAAATTAGATGAGAAAATAAAGGCTACACTAAGTGAAATGAAGCAAAATGCACAAGGAACCAATAGTGATGGAAAGAAAACTGACTCAAATCAATGGAGTGGACCAGAAGGAAGAAAGAAACAACCAAACAGAAAAGAATGAAGAAACAAGAATTCAAAAAAATGAGGAGAGGCTTAGGAAGCTCCAGGACAACTTTAAACATCCCAACATCTGAATTATAGGGGTACAAGAAGGGGAAGAGGAACAGCCACAAGTAGAAGACTTATTTGAACAAATAATAAAGGAGAACTTCCACAATCTGGTGAAGGAAATAGAATTCCAGTCAGTCCAGGAAGCTCAGAGAGTCCCAAAGAAGTTGGACCCAAGAAGGAACACACCAAGGCACATCATCATTACATTAGCCAAGATTAAATGAAGGAGACAATCCTAGAAGCAGCAAGAGATACGGGGACAGTCACCTACAAAGGAGTTCCCATCAGACTGTCAGCAGATTTCTCAAAAGAGATCTCACAGGCAAGAAGAGGCTGGAAAGAGGTATTCCAAGTCATGAAAGGCAAGGACCTACATCCAAGATTGCTCTACCCAGCAAAGCTTTCATTTAGAATGGAAGGGCAGATAAAGTGCTTCTCAGATAAGGTCAAATTCAAGGAGTTCATCATCACCAAGCCCTTATTATATGAAATGTTAAAGGGACTTACCTAAGAAAAAGAAGATAAAAAAGATGAACTGTGAAAGGACAGCAAACTCACAGTTATTAAGAACCACACCTAAAACAAAAGCAAGCTAAGAGGACAGCTAGATCAGGAGCAGAACCATAGAAATGGAGATCACATGGAGGGTTAGCAACAGAGGAATGGGAGGAGAAGCAGGGAGAAGGTACAGAGAATAAGTAGCATAGACAGTGGGGAGAAAATAGATAGGGGGGAGGGCAAGAATAGTGTGGGAAATGTAGGAGCTAAAGAACTTATGATACATGGACATGAACTAAGGTGAGGGAATGTAGAGGGGAAGAGGTGTGCAGGGTAGAGGGGAATAAAGGGGGGAAGTGGGACAACTGTAATGGCATAATCAATAAAATATATTAAAAGTGTTCAACATTCATATTTGCAGTGCTGATGCTCTTCATGTCAAGAGGAAAAAACAAATAGCAATACTTTGGACATAGTTTGTAATCCCTACAAAAAGCATCTGGTGTCAGAAATTTCTTGTAGATGCTGGATGGAATTGATTGTATGGCTACACTGGTTAATCCAAAGGGCAGCCAAAAATAGCCTATTAAATGTCTAGGCACACAAGACTCCTCTCAGGTGTGAAACAGCTAGGGCACAAAACTATGGTGGTGGAAACATAGTTTCCAGAGTAATAAATATTGTAACTTTTAAAATTAAAATTTAACTGGAATTTCAAAGGTTACACTCACAGATTCTTTTCCCTCCCATCCTGTTGTATTGCTCACATATTTTTTTTTGGAATGGGTATGCACAGATTATATCTACCCTTGAAATCTGAAGTGGGAAAAACAGTAAGAGGAACGACATAAAAACCACAGGAAGCTATAGTAAGATGAATCCCTATCTATGTCAAAAACTATTTGTAAGCCATGAAGAGAGTTGATAGGGCTCAAAATGCCATTTTTAGAGGAATAGGAAAGAAAATGCAGAAATCAAATTGGATCTTACGGCAGGTACGTGGCTTGGGGGCAAGGGAGGATGAACATTGTAGAAAACATGCCACCCTAGGGATACTGAAAAGTAATACCTTTTCTCCACCAAACACTTTGATTTTAGAACACAGATTTACAAGGACTATGTGACTCTTCCCCTTGTATCCATCCTAACCCAATTCTTTTACCTGTCACGCAGGTGTTGACTTTCGAGGCTGCCCCTTGAAGCAAGAGTTAAGAGGAAAAAGTTGTGCTTGTCAGGCACCATCTGTCCCACCTTGCATTAATTTGCCTTTACGCTTTGCTAAAAACAATCTAATACTTACTGATACTCAGCCACGCAGTCCAGCAGACCTACATACTTTAAGGTCTCATGTTGAACAGCACTTTCAAGAGCTCGAACTCCACTGACATCTTTCAGAATATGCTGGACGCTTTCAATGTAGCCAGATTCAAGATTTTCATCTCTCTCTAAGTTCCCCTGGGGTGAAAGTATGCTTTCCAAGGCTTCATGGAACCGTTTCCCTTGTAAAAATATGTCTGAAGAGAAAATCAGGGGAAAAGAAATAACAAAACAGAACAAAAAAGACCAAACTAGTACTAAAAAACACTGTGAAAAACTCTTAAATAGAATTAAAAATCACACAAGATTTACCTTTAAGTGACAACCCCGGGACACATTTCAGCCCCTGTGAAACCTAGGGATGCACTTCAAAAATGAAAGGGAATGGAATAGTTTAGCCAGTAAAATGGATTAAAATAAAATATTTCTAATTGAATTAGGCCAAAACTAGAATTAAAGATCTAATAGATGCAGGAGCACACCTAATTTATGGTACTGTGAATTTTTGTTTTTTATGTCCTTGGATAGAGGATGAATCAAATACTAAATTGGTAAGACCAAATACATTTGATCTTAGCCAAAAGGCCGAGAAGCAATGGTACTGTGAATTTAAGTATCCATTTTAGTAAGTTAACTGGCTTGGTAAATACTGGGTTGGCCAAAAAGTCTGTAAGCTTTTTTCCATAAAATAAGACACATTTTTCATTTTCACCAATAACTACTGATTTGGATATTTTGAGTATATCGGGTAGGTATGTACCATGTGGTATAATATTGATTATTCTCAATGTCTTGATTTGATCACTATCAACTTCAACTGGTCTACCCAACTGTAGAGCACTGTCCAGCAAGAAATCTCCAGCACAAAACTTTAAAGCACTTTTGACATGATCTCTCAGTCACAGGACCTTCTCCAACACACTGCAAATCTTTGTTTTGCATTTCAGTTGAGTTTTTACCTTTCTTGGAATAGTAAAACATACTATGCCAAAAGTGCTTATTTTCTTTCATCTTCAATATTAAAATGGCTACGCAAAAATTCACCAATTGTGATGAGCTTTGTTTAAATGCACACTAATGACAGCTGTCAAAATACAATCTAACAAAACTGGTTTGAATGAAGTTAAAAATAACTAAGTGCTACTAACTCCATCTTATGGGAAAAAAAAAAACAACTAAATGAACTTTCTGGCCAACCCAATAATTACTAGAAATTTAGGGAACTGCATTTTGTTTACACTTTTTACAACCATAAATCAATTATGGGCATAAAAATGGTGGGAAAGACTTTCATTAGCAGGCTTAGTGACTGGCAAGAAATGAAAAATCAAGGCTCGTACAAATTAAAAATAAGGAGTTGTTGTGGGGATTTTGTGAGACCTGGAGGAAGGGGAAGAAAATATGTGACATTCTTTTCCTGCATTTTTTTTTTTTTTTTTTAGGGTTAGAACAGTCTAGTACAGTTGCTCTGTCCTGAATTTTTTTATCCTCATATACTTTTAAGAGACTGTACACATATCCAACAAATGAAAAATGGTAGATATTCACTTGATTCTTAGTGAGGGAAAGAAAGGGCGCTGTTGTACTAAGCAGTGGCCTTGATGCTTTCAAAATACAGTATTTATTCTTTTTTTTTTAAACAGGGAAAAGCATGAATGCAGTACCCCATTACCACAAATCATGCAGTTGAATGATTTCTAACATTTGGGGAAATCACAGGGGTCAGTACATCCATAGTACAATGGATAAGCCTCAACCTGGGAAAAACACATTTGTGATCATAGTATCTCCCCGGCCAGGTAAGTATCAAAACAGCGAATTAACCTTTCAAATACAACGACCAGCAAGATAAGGATAATTACTCCCATTTTAATGAATGAGACTTAACAGAGCCACTAATTTGCCCCAAAGCAAAAAGCTAGACCCAGCAACCTGATATCAGTCTATATTCTTTCCAGGTCATCACCATACAGCAAAGCAAGGAAAGTAAATTCAGGGATCATCATTTAGATACACACAGAAAGAGTTGACAATATATGAGGGGGGACCCCAAAACACCCTGGAATTTATTTATAAAATAAATATATATATAAAATTGGAATATATAAAATTATTTATTCTTATGTTTATACGTTAGTCACCTATGCACTATTTGATGCAATACACCTATCACAATGTTTTTTCCACTGCTCAAAATAGTCTGAACTCACTGATTTTTGATGCCTGATAGTGCTCTTACCATTTTTTCCCCACCTCTTCCACATCTGTGAAACATTTCCTTTTGAGGACTTTTTTTTTATCCGGGCAAACAAGAAAGTTGCTCTGGGTGAGATGGGGTGAACAGGGAGGGTGGGGCATGGGTGTCAAGATGTTTTTGGTCAAAAACTGCTGAACACTCAGGGTAGTAGTGCAGGTAGGTGTGCTCATAAATCACCCATTATGAAATGGGCAAATGTGTTGAAAGTCTTCAAAAAAAGTTCACTGAAGCCTAACAGCATCTCTTACAAAGCCAGGTGGTACACTGATACAAATGTATTCCTAGAATCTAGTGGGGGAAGCCTGTACGACAAGGGACCCACCCTCCAGAAGATAATTCAGGGTTTTTTGGGGGTCCCCTTCCCTTGTATATGCTTGGAGACAGATCCATAGAAAATGAGGGTAACAATCTCACTTAATAAGGTAACATCAAAACATATTAGTTTGTCAGGTATGTTTTTACAAAGATTTTGAAAGGTCAGTTCTACCACTTGCAAAAAAGGGAATTATTTCTGGGAAATAACTTGGAGAGGTTAAATGGAATTCAATTGAGCACATCAGTTAATTCTACTCCAATTTTACTTAGCTCAACTGGACTTAATGTCAGTGCATGAAAGGCCTACAAGAAAATTAAGACTAATGAAATTAAAACCTAGATAAAAGAAGCATAGTATTCATCTATAGACTAGCTTAATGAAGCAGACAGAACATAAACATGTTAAAAACAGGAAAAAAAAAGTTGCTTCATCATCAACTGCCAAGCAAACAGACAACTCATTCCCCAGTTGAGTTGCAGACAACCAGTGCAGACAACCTCTGACTAGGTTCTTAACATATAAAAGGCAAACATGGGAAGCTAGATTACAGGGTCCCTTAGCTTGTAAGGCTCAGAAGAGGAAAGAGAGAGAAGCATCAATTTTTATTGTCCCATTTACTTATGCACTCACTGCTTGCTTCTTATATTTACCCTGATGGGATTGAAAGCACAACCTTGGCATATTAGACAATGTTCCAACCAACTGAATTATCTGACCGAGGAAAAAGAAATTTTAAAAGTTTCAAGATTTACTGCAGATAGTATTAAGTCAGAGTATGCACTCAATAAGTTAAAGGAATTAAAGTGAAATGTGTTCAAGTCCTAGTATATAGAGGGCATTAAAAAAATTCATGAGTCTCCAATATTCAGATTAATAGAACTGACAAGATGGATATTTTAGGATTTAAAAAAAATCAGTAGCAAAACCCTGAAAAACAAACAAACAAAAAACCCTTACCTATTTTCACTATGATCAACACATAAAAATCAAAGTCAGACTTTCAATCTTCAATAGGTAAACTGATACTTGGGAAACTCACAAAAACTCAAGATGCCATTAAAAGATGTTTTTATGTTGCTTGTTTAGAAAGCTAAGAATACAAGCACACCTGGGAGATACTTTGGGTTTAGTATCACACCACCGTAATAAAGCAAGTATCTAAGTAAAGTGAGTTGTCATTTCCCCCCTTCAATTTGTAAAAAAAAAACCATTTAAACAACACCTGTGAAGCACAATAAAGTAAATCACAATATGCCCTGGCTGGTCCCTGCAGGCCAGTTCCCAGCAGGGGACGCACTAGAGGCAACCATACATTGATGTTTCTCTCCCCCTCTCCTTCCCCTCTAAAGATAAATAAATAAATATTATAAAGTAAATCACAATAAAAGAAGGTGCCTGTAGCTTGGTGGTTGTTACTAATTAACTTTCTTCAGAAGGCAGTCAGCCCTTATATGGATACCTTGTTCCAAACAGCTGAGGAATGTTATAAGGTGCTACGACTTTGACCATTTTTGCTTTAACCAGGTGACACCTATATACTGAATAATTTTTTTTTAAAACACACGGCCACTTGTTTAACATGCATGCACAGACTTTTTTTCTAAGATACCTCAAAATAAGTGCATTACTCTAAAAAATTAAAAGTGTTGCCCTGGCTGGTGTGGCTCAGTAGATTGAGCACAGGCCTGCAAACCAAAGGGTTGCCAGTTCAATTCCCAGTCAGGGCACATGCATGGGTTGCAGGCCAGGTCCCCAGTAGAGTGTGTGCAAGAGGTAACCACGCACACTGATATTTCTCTCCCTCTCTCCCTTCCTTCCCCTTTGTCTTAAAATAAATAAATAAATTATTCAAACAAACAAACAGTGAGCTTGTATACCACTAGGGGTACACATACTGCTTTCTGGAAAGCACAAAAGACAGTCCTATGAGGATCAGTTACAAGGATTCTCTTGACCTGTCTAATAAGTTAGTAGGTTAGGAGTTAAAGGCTAAAATTTATTCTCAGTTCCTAATCAACAGTAGCTGATTATCTCAACTTGCCAAGATGTAAATATAGATAATCTGTTCTGGTTAACTGTTTTAATTCCATTAGTCTGGCTTGTTAGTCTATGTTGACAAACAGAACAAAGGGGTATTTCCTAGATTCTGAACAAAATGCCTACAAACAACTAGAATTCCATTATCTGATGATCGACTCTTTTCCATAATCGAACAAACAGGCAATTCTAATACTTAAGTTTGTAGCTTATAAAATAACTTGATACATCATTTAGTCAAAATACTTAATCTCTGTGCTTGAGTTTCATTTGTGAAATTGAGGCAGGAGACAGCACAGGAAAAATTCTAAGTCAGTGCTGCTGTTACTGGCCAGTGGCTAGCATCCTGGTTGCCAGGAAATGCCTATTAGCATTTAGGTAGAATTAATAGCCAAGGCAGTGAGGATGAGGAAGGCATGTCTCACCCACTAACTCAGCAGTTCTAAGCCTGGTCTGAAAATATTTCCAGGTGTTCCAACATCACAAGGAACAGTATGTCAGCACAGGAGGAGGGAAGTCCTTGAAATTCTATGTAGCGTTTCTACTATTTGGGAAAAAAAGCCTTGAAACTGTGCTTTCATCCCGAGGCCTGAAAGGCTTGAGGGTCCACAATACCCCAAAGAAGCCCATGAAACAACTTCAGTTAACTGCCTACTTCTAGACTATGTTTTACGAGGGAGTCCCTAATACTTAAAGAGCCCATAAATAACCGGGTAACTATCCCAACATTAATTAACTGCCTCCTGGCATGTATCTGCTGTACAATAAAATGAACAAGTGGAGTTTGGAGCAAGATAAGGATTTGGGCTAACAGACCCCCCACACATACCTAAGTTTGGGTAGTCATACCCCCCCAAGAAAGCTGGCACCACATTTACCCACAAATCAATATGTAAGTTTTTTTATTCCCATCCTGCCAACTATGTAAGTCCTTAGACCAAAGGACCTGGGGACTGGCCACCCTTTACTTTTGCTGCTCTGCTTTGACCTGAACCTATGCCTTTCACCCTCCTCCGTCCACCACCGCCCCCCGCCCTGCATTAGGCCCATTTCCTTCCACAGAAATGGAACGCTAATAAACCCTGATTACATATTAATAGATTTGCTGATCTGTAATTCTTTACATGCATCGGCAAGAAGAACCAGATCTCTCATGTCAACAAAATGAGGATAATAGTATCTATGCTTTATAAGGCTGTCATGAGGATTGAGTTAATATAAAAAGTGCTATTTAAAGCTAATTATTATCATTTGAAAGTAATTCCTCACTAGTTAAGAAAAACCTTTAAAGAATGACACCAGTGTCCTATACTCTAGATAGTAACATACTACACTTGTTACTATACTTCTTGTACTTAAGCAAGGATTAAGAAAATTACTTGAAGTATATTCTGCAAAGCCATTCTCTCCCAGTTCCAGAATCATCCGCTGTTTCCACCTTTCCAAATAGAAAATCTGTTCTGATGTCATGGTCTGCTGAAGGACTCGGGTCACACTTGGCATCTTACTCCTTTGCAAAGGGATTTTCAAAGGAACTGTGGCATCGCTTGTTGCATTTGGTTTTAAGCTTCTTTCTGGACTGAAGAGAGGAAACCAGTTTCCAGGAACTCTTGCTTCCTCCTCTTGCTTTGGAGGTTTACACTTACTCACAGGTCCATAGAGTAAAGTATCTTCCTCAAACAATGATTCTGGAGTCTGAGCATGGCCTCTGAATGACAAGACAGACTGTACTAAATCAGAGTACTTTTCTTGGTTTACCTGTTCATAAGGGTTCTCTTTTTTCTTACGGCCACATGAATATGAGGAAGTGGAGAAAGCCACACATGGGGATGGTTCTATGGAAAACCCCTTTGAACTTCTAAACTGCCTGCACATGGTTTGAAATGCCTTCATTTTTAGACTTCTCACTTCCCTTTAGTCTCCTTGCAATGCGGAAAGCCTTTTTAGTTTTTGCATTCCTGTTAAAGAGAAAAGTGGTATTAGGTAGCAAATGTTAAGTATTTTAACTATCAATGTGAAATCTATATTAGTATGATATTGTACACTAAAAGCTTATTGAATAAGCTTTTAAGACATGCTTGGACAAAGTTATTTTCCAAGAAATCCTCTCATCAATACCAGAAGGCCCAGCAATTATTAAATGAGAAATAGCAGACAGCTTAGGGCAAGACGTCCCCGATATTCCATCTGAAGAATGTGTCACCTGGAAAGGGAATCGTGACACACACACAAAAAAACATCTGTAACGGGGGCCCCAACCGTCGGGCTTAGGACCAGTACGAGCCCGTTGCCTGTTAGGAACAGGGCCGCACAACAGGAGGTGAGCGGCAGAGGAGCAAAGTTTGGACCGCGTTACCGCCTGAGCTCTGCCTCCTGCCCCTCCCCACGCGGAAAAATGATCTCCCACGAAACCGATCGCTAGTGCCAAAAAGGTTGGGGACCACTGCTCTAGAGCCCACCCTATAAAGGCCAGGGGTCACAGCTAGCAATTAACCACGGACCCCTATATTCAGGTTCTTTGCTAGGTAGTCTGTAGGATTTTCTCATTTAACTCTCATCCTCTAAAGTGGGTACTATTGCGACCCGTTTTACAGACATTGAAATCGAGCTTTTGAAGGTCCACTGCTGTCCGAGCAGAAAGCAGCGGTGAACAGGGTGCATCATCGTAATTTCCAGAGGGCAGATTCCTGCTCGAAACTGTGGGTGTCGAACCATGGCGGCGCGAGAAAAGGCCGTGGCCTTTACGGGATCAGGATTAGGAAAACCACGGCTTAAACCGAAGCGCAGCCCAGCCCAGGGCAGGGCTAGGTACCTCGGAGGTCACCACCCTTCGATGAACTCCCAGGGAGCTAACAGCTTCTCCACACGCGTACTTTCCTCGGTCCCTCGGTCCCGCGCTTGGGTCTCAAATTAGGCCTCGCCCAAGGCACGGCTGTCCCAGCAAGCAAAGCGGCGCTCACGCCCCTCCCCTACTTCCAGGTTCACGTCGGTAGACGCCTGTACGAACGTCAGCGTCAGCGCGTCCCTCCTTTTGGGCAGAAGCGCGGGCAACTCCTATCGCGCCCTTTTGCTCTCACGAGATCTTGTTTACGTCACAGCCTGCCGCCATCTTGGGCTCGGGCTGAATAATAAAGTTCCACTCAGGGGGTACTCTCTTTCTTCAGAAGATCCTGGTAGGGAGTGTTTCAGCTTCTGCGTTCCTGTCACGGACTTGTGGTCAGCGGTTTACGCGTGACCCGGAGCGAGGGTAGGACCCGTATAGCTTCTTTGCTCGGCTCCAAGATGGACGGCAGCGGGAACGGGGGAGGCAGCTCTGGGGGAGCACGTGGCGCACCACTAGCCTTTCTTGGGGCTTCTGGGATGGTGGCGGAGTCCCGAGGCCTCCTGCCGCCGTCTGGCTGGGAAGCTAGTTGGAGGCGGGGCTGCGGCCGCCCCTCAAGGCGCCCCGGCGGGGCGGCGGCCCAGCTTTTTCTTTCCTCGCACAGCCAGGCAGTCCGCTCTCGAGGCCCGCGTCGCCATGGCCGCGGTTCCCGAGTTGCTGCAGCAGCAGCAGCAGCAGCAAGAGGAGGACCGCAGCAAGGTGAGGCTTTATGCTCTTACAGGCTTTAGGACGGGAGGCCCCACCGACCTTCCGGAGCCTCTCATTCCTTCATTCGTCCCAAGGGGGTTTTGGGGCTGCTCGTGCAACCGTGTCTCGAAGCGAGGGCCTCTGCCACGCGGGAAACACCTGCGGGATCCCAGGCGTCCTTTGTTCTCCCTGAGGGCTCCCTGCGGACCTCGGGGGGTGGGAAACAGAGACGCGGGACCGGTCCTGGTGGTATGTGGCCGGGTGTCCACTACCGAACGGGCGCTTGGTGAGTTTTTGGAGACCCGAGAATGTGCTCTTAAGTAAAAAGTTTCTAAAGCTTACGTTGGTTTCGTGAAGACTGGACGGGAAACTTGAAATCCACTTAACCTGCGACAAATGACAGTTTGGTTTTGTTGCCTCCAAACGATCTCCCCACCCTTTTAGGAAACTTTTTGGGCCAACTAGGGAAATTTCATCAAGTCAGATACCCTGACGCATGTTTTGTTACAACTTCATAAAAGCTTAATGCATAGTCACTGGGAGTTCTGTGTTACTTAGTGGGTGCTCAAGTACTTGTTGAACTCAGCTTTTACTTTTAAAATTTGAGTGTTTATGTAAATTATTTTTATGCTGTTTAAATCTTTAGGTCTAAAAGATAACTATTGGGTTGGCCAAAAAATCTGTTTTTTCTGTAACATGAAAGACACATTTTTTCATTCTCACCAATACCTTTATTGATTTGGATGTTTTGGCTCTGTCAGCTATCTCCTGGTATTGGCTTCTAGTGGTAGAGACCAGGAATGCTGCTAAACGTGTTCCAACGTGTAAGACAGCCCCACAGCCAAGAATTATTTGGCCGAAATGTCCATAGTACCAAGAAACTTTACAAACCACATTTCATCACAGCATGGTCTCCATACACTACACAAATCTTTTTTGCATTTGTTGCATTTTTATTTTTCTTGAACTAATTAAAGCATAGTATGTTGAAAATGTTGTATACCCTTCATCTTTAATATTAAAATGGCTGCACAAAAATTCACTAATTTTGGTGAGTTCTTTTTATGCATGCTAATATGACAGGTGTCACAGTGCAATCTAACAAAATTGTTTAATGAAGGTAAAAACAACTAAGCGCTACTAGGGCCATCTTGGGGGAGGGCATGACATAGTGAACCTTTTGGCCAACCCAATAATTTAGTAAGAGCAGATTACTGTGGCCAATTAATTAGAGACAAGCCTCCACTTGTTTATTGCCTTTATGTTTGAGTTAGTGTCACAATTAATGGAAGTTGATGTGAACCACAAAAGTTGTGGGCAGAATGGTCAACAAAAGTTTTTCTGACAGAAAGTGGGGGGGTGTCTAGAATACTCAGATTGAACCTGGAAGACATCTTACAATTTTACATCTGTTTTACAACTCTTACTTGGAGAGACTTGTTTTTCACCTAGTAAGAAGGAAGTTGTTCCCAACAAGGTATCATTGCTGTTAGTTATTGAAGTGCTGCTTTGTGATGAGGATAGTAGGGTCTTGGTTGAGCATTGTTATTTTTTGAATGTTGAAGTAACTTGCACTTTTTACTAAAACCAAAAGTGGGAACCTTGAGACTATGACTGTTTCTAGAACATTCTGAAGGTAGTTTTGAATTTAGAAATTTAGGTGGCGAATAGGAATTGTGATGGCATTTTGATTCACACACACACTTTTTCTTGACCCAAAATGTTTTAGCTGTTGAAAAGGACTTGACTGCTTCAACAGGCCTTCCTATATGATAGCTGGTATTTGAAATAACTTGCCCATCATTCTAATCTAGCAAAATGGGAGGATTATGAAGAATATTTCCTGTGTCCTGGTTTTTAGTGGCTACGGGAAAAGTATTATTTTCCTTTAGTGTTTTAAATTAAGGGATAAGGAGATAATAAAACTTTACCCTACTAAAACACTAAAATTTTACCCTAACTCATGGCTTTATTTTGCTTCCAGATCTAGTTCTAGTCCTTTGTTGTGGACCGTCTAGATGGTTTTTACTGTTAACCTGAAGGAAGTTTGGGACAAGTGTGAATTAACAAGAGGCAAAAATCTTAGGCAAAGCTGTGTTACCTAAAACAGCTTTGTTTTAGGTTACAAATGTTTTTGTAGAAAGAAGGTTACACTTTTCTACTGTTGGCTTTGGAATTTCCATGAGAATAGAGGTTTGTGGGGTTTAGACCCACTAGTAAAGAAGGGAACATAATTGACTGGAGGATTTTGAATGCTTGTAAAGTCCTTTTTTTTTTTTTTTTTTGCGCTAGTTCAGCAAAAATTGAAAGGAGTATAGGTCTATATCTGGTAGCCTGACACTTTTCATTTAGCTGAAGGTGCTGGGATTTGTCTCTTATCTCAAAAAGCAGTTTAAGGGAAAAGTGCATGGTTTTTAACTTATTGTCCAGTGAAGAAACCAATTATATTTTAATCTTTAAATTTAGAAAAGTAAGGCTTACCAAGTGTAGCATCTGAAAAAGTTAACTAAAGCATTAATACCATTGGGCTCCATCTTCATAATCTAGTATTTGTGCAACCTTCTGCTGGTCCATGGATGTTCTCAGGTGTCTGAAGTTTTTGGTGGGTAGGGGGAAAATAATTGCAAGTTACCTTTTTATCTTGAGTCATTTTCCTCCTCCTGGGTTCTCTGGGCCTTCTATTTACCAAAAAGGCAGCTAAGTAGTTAGGTATCATGTTTAGGTTCCCCCTCAGATGGTGATGAGTCTCCTCAGTAGTTCAGCAAATCTGTGACAAATTGAGTGTGGTTCCTGATTGCCTCCCACGACTATTTTTGTTTTTTAATTCTTAAATTGGTAATAGACCAAAGTAAGTTGAGCACATAGGAAAGAAAAGCTTCGCAAGGAGTAGGTGGTAGCCCTTCCCAGCCTAGTGCTAATAGCACTAGGTTGGTTCAGTAGTTAATTACATGGACTTTGGGTGGATGGTGTCTCTTCAGAGCCAGGCATTAATGTTCATGCTGCTGTTCTGGTTCGCAGTTTTTTGTTAACTGATGTGGAAGTTGTTCTACGGACACTTTACCAGATTGAGTGGAAGAATATCCTAAAACTTGTTTTACTGTAGGAACAGTCCAGTATTTGACCAATAAATACAGCAGCAATTCCAAGTTGATTAATTTTTGTGGATTGACGTTTTTACATTTAATGGCTTGACATCATTTTTCTTTTCTAAATTCTGGAAGTAGGACTTAATCAAAGCTGCCCAAGCCTCAGTTCTAGATCAGTATCTTGTACAGAGTGTTTTAAGATCCCTGTGATGTGTGTGTGTGTGTGTGTTTTCTGTAGGAAGAAATGGCCAGGGGAGGCTATTAGGGATTTTTCTAGATCCTGAGATCTAAATTCTCATTGGTGTTAAGACCTGGTAACTGACTAAAATCGAATGTAGAGCTTTAGTTTAAACCAGGGTTTTTTCAGCCTTAGCATTGTTGACATTTTGGGCTTGCTGATTTTTTGTTGTGAGGAATTGTCCTGTGCATTAGGAGTATACCTGTCCTGTACTGAGTGACAGGTATAGCTCCCTTCCCTTCAGTAGTGACAGTCAAAAAATATATGCAGACATTGTTAAATGTTCCTTGGTTGGGGATCACTGGTTTAAACTTCCTTTTCTAAAATGGTGTGATACGAGGGAGCCCAGGTTGTGTTACAGAGGATATTCAGATCTATAATTGATAAATTCTAAAAAAAATAATAATAATAACATGCTGTAGGAAACAAGTATTGTTGACTATCTTTAGGGGAATTAGATCCTCCTCCCCCAATATTATCAAAAGGTTGTAAGAGGTGGTTTTCTTCATTGCTTCTGGGCAATTTCTTGTTGCAAAGAGGCCACTGTGCATTTACTGTGTTGGAATTTAGTGCCCACTTTGGATTGTGGAAACCTGAGGCTCTGGTGCTACAGCACTGAGTACACTGTGGGCTAGAATTGAAGCTCACTGACAGATGTGCTGTGGGGTAGAACTTAAAGTTCTGCTTTTTAAAACATTTTCCTTTGTTTAATATCAGGGCCTGGTTTGCTTGCGGAAATTAGGCAAGAATAGTCTGTAGGTTAATACCCTTCCAATAGCCATGCAGTGCATGAAGGTGCATGCAGTGAAAGTAGGTTGTATTTAGGGAAACAGCCTTTTAAGGAACCCAATTATTTTCAGGAAAGTTTCAGAGAATTGTAATTCTGCTTTTTCTTTTTGAAGCGATGAAGGAAGATGGCTACAGGCAGACATCTTGTCTCATGGGAGTGTGGTAAACTTGTTTTTACAAGTATAAATTTAAAGGTCCTCTGCTGATCTGGCTTTCCAGAAAACTTCATCTCCAACACATTTGTTTTCTGATTGGCCATTGAGTTACTCTTAAGAGATAGCCCTTCTAAAAGAGGGACATGACATTTATCAGCTGTTTTCATACCCCAAAGGCAAACCATAAATACCAAGGGAGGAGTGTGCAAAGTTGCAGTTAGAGGCTCAGAGGAGGAACTGAACTTCTTCCGTTTAGATATTCTGTCCTTGGCTAGATTCCCTTCTTCCTTCCCTTTTACAAGTTTGGTGTAACTTTCAGATACTGCGATGTGGTCTGGAGAGAAAAGTGTAATTTTCTCAGAATAGCTGCTTATATTAAGCTGTGGCATGTGTTTTCTGCTTGAAGAATTCATACAAGTTAACTTGTATGAGTTAACAAGTTAACTGCTCCTCAAACAAGTTAACTTGTTTTTGAGGAGCAGGCTCCTAACCTTCATTGTAGTCAATGTTAATGGTGAGTACAAATGCAGAATCTTAACTTCTCAGGCCTTCATTTTGCCTTTCTTGAAGAGTAGTATAAAGCTGGTGGTGAATGATGAAATGAGGTACTGGAATAGGTACAGCTAAATGATTTGGGAAATGTATAGTATCTCCTACTCAAAGTGGAAGAAATGTCACCAGGAAGAGGCAGCCTTCTCCCTATGCTGCCATTTGTGTCACAACTGTTTATGATACAAGCTTAAGCTCAGATAGCTCTCCATGTAGCTGAATAATCTTTGTCGGTGGTGGAGGTAATTTTTTTTATTAAACCTATTTCTGTTCATCATGGTTGGATCCCAAAGGTCAGGTAGCGAATGCTCTTAAATACCCTCATCAGCAAGTAAAGTGTAACATGTCAGGTTTGTATTATAGTAGAGGTCACTGGACTTGATATACCAAGCAACTTTGGGGAGAAAGGCTTAATAGGATTAAGTAGTGGGTTGAAGGGCTTTCACTTCAAATGGAGGAATTAGTGTTCATTTTTCATTTTTTTCAGCTGCTTCCTCTGTGTTCAGCTGTTTTCATTCTCAGTGTTCATTTCTGTGCTAGGAGATCCTTAGAAATCACATAGTTCAGCTTTTTTCATTTTGTGAACTCATTTGAAAATAATCCATGTATCTAGTAATTAGGTGGATTTCTTGAAATGAATGTTCTTTAAGCCAGTAATTCAACTTAATCTTTCTGATTCCTTGTTGGAATTTGACTAGCTCATGGGCTTTGCAGCCTCGTGAAATGATGATTGAGTTTATCCATTCGCTGAGTATGCTGCACTGACCTTCTTCCAAGCCTCAGTTCCTGTTCTAGGAACTGGGTGCTAAGTAGCCTCCAAATGCCCTGCAGTCTGTGGTGTTCTACTATGGACAGCTTGTGTGTTGGTGGACTACGGGTGAGAATGATTGGTGTCAGCAGGGATGGGTCCCTCTGGGTCCCCATCCCACCAAGATGAGTGGTGGAAATCTGATCACTTGCTGTGGCCCTTTATCTATTTTTTTAAAATATTTTATTTATTTACCTTTAGAGGGGAAGGAAAGGAGAGAGGGAGAGAAACATCAATGTATGGTTGCCTTTTGTGCGTCCCCTGCTGGGAACTGGCCTGCAGGGAACTGGTCTGCAACCCAGGCATGTGCCCTGACTGGGAATCGAACCGCGATTGTCTGGTTCGCAGGCTCGTGCTCAATCCACTGAGCTACACACCAGCCAGGTATCTATTTTTTTAAAAATTTTATGACTAACTTCTGTAACTTTGTAGACTGAGATCTTCTAGAAGACTTTGGTTCTGTTTCCTTGGAGACTATTATGATATTGGCAGACTTGAATTACACGGAAGGGAGAACCAATTATGGGTGAAGGGGGAGGAGGGAGATGAGAAACAAATAGTGGTAGAAGCAGAGCTCATTGCTTACAGTCAATTCAATTATTTTCATGCACCACTCCATAAGGAAAAGCTGGGATAGAATAGATAAACAGATTTTGGTTACCTTCAGGGTGGAAGAAACAGTAACAAATAATTTGAGTACTAGTACTTGAATCATACTTTAGGGAAGGATATGGTATTTAAATTTTTTAAAAGAATTTCTCATAGAGTACTTCCTTGTGAGTTAAAACAGTGACAAAGTAATATATTGTTTCATAAGTATGTATCATGTGACTCGTGTGTCTGCAAGCAGAATATTTTTGTATTTTATTTCCTCACTAACGAATATTGGACTAGGCAAGGCATACATACCTTTCTAGATGAAATATGGTGTTTTCTGCTCCTTTGATTAGAGTGAAAATGTGATCCAGGAGTCAGACTTCTTGCCTCTGTTTTGGCTTCATGTTGCCGACAGACCATTCATGGGTGACTGTCCCTGGTAGGGGTCTTCATTTCTTATGCAGTGAGATGAAGGACAACAAAGCAAAATCCTTAGGAGAAACAGTTTGAAGGGAAGACAGTGTTGTAACATGTGCTGGCTATTAAGTGCATTGCTTCTGCTTTGGAAATGGAAACCAGAAAAACACTTAAATACCTACATATATTGGGTTGACCAAAAAGTTTGTTACTTTTTTTCCATACAATGGCTCTAGTAGTGCTTTGTCTTTAACCTCATTTGAAACAATTTTGTTAGATTGTATTGTGACAGTTGTCATATTAGGGTGCATTTTTAAAAAACCTACCAAATTGGTGAATTTTTGTGCAGCCATTTTAATATTGAAGATGGAAGGTAATATGCAACACTTTGACATTCTGTGCTTTATGTACAGCGTGTCAAAAAGTACAAATAAAACCGAATCGCCAAAAAAAAAAAGGTGGTACAGTGTATGGAGACCATGCTGTGACTGAGTGAACGTGTCAAAAGTGGTTTGCGAAGTTTCTTGGTACTATTTACATTTTGGGCAAATAATTCTTTGCTGTGGGACTGTCTTATGCATTGGAAGATGGTTGGTTAGCAGCACCCCTGGTTTGTAGCCACTAGAAGCCAATAGTGGGAAATAGCTGACATATTTAGAATATCCAAATCAATAAAGTTTTTGATGAAAATGAAAAATGTGTCTTGTGTTATGAAAAAAACTAATCTGACTTTTTTGGTCAACCCAATACAAGTAGTTTTAACTATCTGTGTAGTTCTCCTGTAACAATCAAATTAAGATGGAGATATATAGGGGCAGGCATATTCCGTTTGTTACATTGTGTGCATAACTGGATAAATTTTAAATGGCAGCCCTGGTGGGTGTGGCTTGGTTGGAGCATTATCCTATAACCAAAAGGCTAGGGGTTCGATTTCCTGGTCCAGGCACGTGCAAGAGACAGCTAATCTCTTTCACATCAGTGTTTCTCTTTTTTTTAATTAAAATTTTATTTATTTATCTTTAGAAGGGAAGGGAAGGAGAGAAGGAGAGAAATATCAATGTATGGTTGCTTCTGGTGCATCCCCTGCTGGGAACTGGCCCCTGCTGGGAACTGGCCCCTGCTGGAAACTGGCCTGCAACCCAGGCATGTGCCCTGATGGGGAGTTTAACTGCAATCTTTTGGTTCACAGGCCCGTGCTCAATCCACTGAGCTACACCAGCCAGGGCTTGTTTCTCTTTTTCTTACTGTCAATAAAGGCAATGAAAATGTTCTCAGGTGAGGATAAAAAAAAATTTTTAAAGGCTGTTCACCTACCTCACATTCTAGCACATCAGAGTTACTGTGGCAGTGGTTTCTTTTCCATCGTGTCTTGCTATTTTGGCTGTACTGCACTACTGTAAACTGGAGTCTGTAGTTACCATAACAACACTTACCATATCTTCTGCATCTACCTTCTCTGTTCTTGTGGGTTCTGAATTTCAGAATTTAGCCTTCCATGTTGTCTATAGTCACATAGGTGCTCTTTGTCATCTGTGGGCCATTAAACCTTTTTGGAAGAGGGAGCTTTGCAGATAGTGTTAAGTCTTATACCAAAGTGAGTCATAAGTGGGATTTGGACCAAAAGTGGTCCTTAGCTCAGAGCTCTATAGAATTGTCCTTCAGCCAGTGTCGTGTACCCCAGCTTGCAGGCTGGTGAATGAGTGGGTGGAGAAATGCACAGGAATTTTTTTTATGCTTGCCAGACATTTAGGATTCTTAAAACAGTTAAAACTTGCTTTCTAAATGAAGCAGTACTTATTTATCTTTTTCTCCCCCCTTGTCACAAGATTATTATAATCCTTACTGTAAGGATTAATCTGGTAGGGGGAAGTACATTGGGGGCTGAAACTCCATCTAAAACTTTGGGTATGTAATACAATGGTTTCTGTAGAAATCTACAAAATAAAATTTGTTTTAAAATTATATTCCATTGAGAATATATGTTTTGAGTTTGATTCTCACAAGTGACCTAACGGAATTGGGAGGTTGAAAAATTAACCTAACTTGGTTCTGTAGCCTGTCTTTCACTACTGATTTAAATAGCCATTCTTGGCATTTTGATATGTAGCCCAAGTCAGAGATTTGGTGTTGGCCTGCAGTACTCAGCAGTAGTACTCCAGTTGCTGTTTAGGGTAGGGGATAGAAGTAGGTGAATGGGGGAAAGTATATGGAGGTATACAACCCAGTCTTTATACCCTACATTCTGGTGATTTATTTAGCAAGTAGTGTGGCACGGGTGTTGGTTTTGTTGATGAAGCTGAAGAAGAAATGCTGAGCATCACACGATGCTTCCAGAATAAGAATGCTGTGCTGACTTAGAAGTTTTAATTCAACAACTTTTTACTTTGTGGTGATTTATCTGCTTTATTTTCTGGAGGGTTATGTGTTCCACTATTGGGTAATGTACCCTCTATTGCACTCATACCAAAAACCATATTTCTGATGACAAGAAAGGGAGATAGTAATATAGTAAATAGTCTGGGCTATTACCTCCATATGGTTAGGAGTCTGGGAAAAGAGGTGAAATCAGAAGATAATTGTTCAGTGGGACAAAAAAGAGCTGGTAAAGTTTATTGTAGCTCTGACTGTGGTGGTTATAAATAAACCTCATTTACTAGATTACATTCCCCTTAGGTCCTTCAATCCCTAGTTCCAAACCTAGTTCGTCTGGAGCTCACAGGCCCATTAAGATTGTTTGGCTCATAGTGAGCTAAATGGGATTGTCAGCATATTCAGTGAGAGATGACTAGAAACTGGGATTTGTGACTTCTTTAAGAAATGAATTCTCAGGAAACATTTCAGTTGTTGCTGAGCTCAGGGAAATTCATCTAAACCAGCCCCATCTTTCTAACCGAGTTTGTTGCTCCCTTTACACCTGCCCCGACTCTGTTCCTGGTTTGACTTTGACAGATACAAACATAAAGTGGGATGTTCAGTAGACTCTGCAGTCAAATTTTAGCATCATTTTGAGACCTTTTTGAACTTTGTATTTGCCCAGTAGTAAGTTACTGGAAGGAAGGAAGCAAGCTTTTATCAGAAATACATCAGAGCTAGAGTCACAGTTATGACAAAATGAAGTATTGCTGACCTTGAGGCTTATCTTTGTTTGTAGAGAGTTCATAAATGGACATAGGGATATTAAGCCAAATAAGCAAATATTTCATAGGAGTCATTAAGAACTTATTTTGGAGAAGTATTTAGGTTGAGATGTCAGGAACTTAAGTATATTGTGATTTTACTAATATTACCTGACGTTAAAATCAAAGTCTGGTAACATAACCTGATGCTTGTTTCTTAGAGGAAAGCCATTGTTACAGGACTGACTTTGGTTCTTGCTGTTTAAATCTTTTCCTGGTGTTAGGGGGGAAAGGGAGGTACTGACAGTTTCTAAGATACAGAGAGAGGATGCATTTTTAGTGGGTATATTTAATCTTTTTGTACTTGATTGAAACAGTTTTTTCTAAATTCAGAAGTTAAGTTTATTAGTCCTTGGTCTTGAATTTTTTATTTTGAAGAAAAGAATCCAAACTGAAATTTAGGGGGAAACACCACAGTATTCCCTGTTCTCATCCTCTTGACTCCAGTCTTTACTTGGCATTCTCCCTGCAATAATCTAAAGTGTTAGGACAACTCTAACATTAGCTTACAGTTGGGTTGAGGGGATGAGATGCTTATTTCATGCAGTTTCATGCCTCATTGGAGTCAGGCCTCAATATTGACCAACAGCTTGTCTGCTTTAAGAATTAGAGAATTTATCATACTTGAAATTTGGTATGAAAACCATTTTAACCATTTTTTCCTAACAGCCCAATTCTTACAAAAATTCTTTTTAAACTGGCAAACGTGAAGTTGGATGTTATTTTCCTCTAAATTTCTAACTTAAAAAATCTCTTGCTTTTGCTTCCAGCGCAGTGCTCACACTTGTCCCTTATATGTAACCACAGTTGGATTCTTCTAATTACGGCCTTTGTTAGGTTTTTTTACAGTTTATTTTTTCTGTCTAGATTTCTATTCTCAGACAGTCCCAGCATATAAATGGGTCCAGTCTTGAGCCGGAATTTTATCTTTTGACCTAGGATCCCATACCACATGAAC